AAGAAAAATCTTTTTAAAAAGTATGTTATGACGCAGCCGAAAATGCACATGTATTAGTTAACGATCGCTGATACACATGAAACGTCGATACGATTTTCGATATATGCAACTAAATACTTTTCAATTGATAAGCAAAGCCTTAAACGCGCGTATATTATAGGCAAATGATTTTCAAGCAATTTGCATTCTTGCGAAAATGATATAACAAATGTGGAAAAATGCGGCACACGCCTAGCACTAATCTAGATTCTTATTTATCGCTTAGCTTTGCTTTGATTGCAGTGGGGAAATTTTAAAGGAAGTCCGTGAAATTTTTCCTACGGAATTTATTGGCGGGGTCGTCTGCAAGCATGGCATACAGATAATGACGCAATTGTGGCGCAGTTATGCAAAAGGCACGATAATACCAAATAATAAGAAATAATAATAATTAGTGAAATATAGTTGATTAGGCGCAGTGCAATGTATGTGTGTGTGTGAATAATTAGCAAGTTGCGTTTGTTGTTAGAAAGCGAACTTTTGCACTCTTTTAGGGGGCAGTTGTTATTTAGACATAATTTTGATAAACTACAATTTTCTTAATTAAACAATTCCCTGTTTCGCATATCACTTTTATGTGCACAATCTCTTTATTTTTGGTAGTTTAAGCAAACAACCTTAAAAGCTCATTTATGATATTTTACAATATTTATTTACTGTTAAAATATATATGTATTTGCACTACATAAAATTTGCAAATTTGCACACAATACTACAAAATACTGCTTTCACAGCTAAACTCAGCAATTGCTGCGTGTTTTATTATCGTTCATTAGCATTAATATTAAAATTGACGGCCGAAGGTGGTTATGTACATATATATGGCATGCTTGGTTATGAGACATCGAACTAGTTACAGAAAAAACCACAAAGCAATAAGTTGAAAGTGAAATGGCCAGAAAAACAAAAAAGTCACAGCAGCAAAAAATTTGAATTTTCATTTGTCATTTGAAGCATGCACAGTAGTAAAAGTGGTTTAAAATGTACAAAAAAAACCCCTGGTTGCATTGAAGATAGCGGCTACACCACTTTAATGAGGCAAGAGCATACTCTCTTGTACGAGTTCAACTCGATAACTGTTGTTGTTGTTGCTGCTTTTACATGTAATTTTTTTGACAACTGAGCAGCAGCAAGCAGAAAAATGGCGAATCGAAGACAGCTTACTAGCTGTTTATGTGCAAAACTTGAAAATTAATAAAACAACATCACCAGTTTATATTGAACAAAGTGTGACGGTTGCTACTAGTGACCATACCGTTTTAAAGCAGTTACCAACTACCTCATTCCTCTACTGGGATTTTGTCAATATTTGCCTTTGTTTTGCGTGCGCTTGCACTTTTCAGTTTAGCTCCTTGATATTGAATTTCCATATTTATTTAGTTGCTATTCCTAATCTTTGTGTAATTTTTGACTTTTCGTTCATTTGCTTGCTTGCTAATCATGTCAGAAATTTACACTTTTCGCGCCAACAACGCCAACTGCAATACAATAAATTATTAAGTGACTAAGCATAATTAAATTCGTAAATGTTTGAGGAATGTGGCAGACATGCGCCAAATTGAAATTCAAACAGAAATTTTAGTTTAAATTCGAAAATTTGGAAATTGTGCAAAAAGAGGATGGAAAAGCGTGAGTGGCGAAAGCAGAGGAAGGGATATAAATGAGAACTAATGGCACCGGAGCGCTAACAATATTTAAGAGTTATTTAAAGCAAAAGAACAGAATCAAGTAAATCATATTAAAAATTGTTAGCATAAATTCTTGGGTAGGCAAATGCTGCGTAGTAAGCGCTCATAACGAATTATGGCTCACAAGTCTGGCGTCTGCGGACCAAATGCGACATATTGAATTGGCTTGTCAAGATAAAGGGGAAATTTATTATATACAAAATGTATGTATAAGTATACATACTTATTGACAGAGTATTTAGTGCAAATTGATAATTAATTAACTAAAATTAATGAGATTTCCTATGAATAATATTTTAGGAATTCTTAAAATATTGATTATATAAACAATTATGGAACAAAGCATTTAAATATGTAAAAGCAGAGTATATATTGTATAGAAAGTAGTCTAAAGACTATGACTAGACATTTATCGCTGGTTAAACATTTTTTTTTTTTT